TGCTGGTATTACAGGCATGAGCCACTGCACTGGGCCAATTTAATTTTTATTGACTATAACTCAATTATGTTACAGAATTTGTTTTTTTCAGTATAGTGAAATTATGAATTCAGGTTGTAGGCCAGAATTCTTGTTTGAGTAATCTTGAAGTGTCTTTATTCCTTTTTATCTCCCTAATTGATGAAGTGTTATCAAGTTTCTCTTCAGCACCTGTGACTCTTAGTAACTTCATGATTGCAGACTTAGACTAGCAGCAATGAGGTGACAAAGTTCAGTAAAAACATTTAAGTAGAATGCAAACATTTTTTCTTCTTCCCATTCTTTTGTTAATGCAAATTCATGAGGCATTATTGACTGATAATTGAATCTTAAAAACGCATCAGCCAGTAATGAAATAATATTGCTTTTACTTTCACTTTCATTCCAGGTAAGTTGTACCTTGCTTCATAAGTAGGTTGTTTAATTTATTGGTAGTATTTAAGTACAATTTTGTTACTTCTCTGTACTTTAGACTTAGTGTTATAGCTGTAGTAAGAGCTCTAAAATTATCTCTTAGATATTCTAATTGTGTTTAAATGACTTTGCTGTAGTAGTAGTATCCATTTAAATGGGTACAGTTTTGCTTTGCTATGTTCTAGAGTCTTTTTACAAGATTGAGACATCCATAAACAAATTCTAAAATGAAACCAAAAGAAAATCTAAAATAATTGTTCTTTTTTGTTTGTTTTTGATGGAGTCTTGCTCTGTGGCCCAGACTGGAGTGCAGTGGCGTGATCTTGGCTCATTGCAACCTCTACCTCCTGGTTCAAGCGATTCTCCTGCCTTAGTCTCCCAAGTAGCTGGGATTACAGGCACCTGCCACCACACCTGGCTAATTTTTGTATTTTTAGTAGCAGTGGGGTTTTTTAGGTAATACTTAAAATATGTGATGAAATCATATTTTCCGGCTGCTTTTGGTTACATTTTCAGTGAAATTTTGGTTACATTTTTGATAACGATGTAAAGCAGTGATACTTGTTGGTCAGATGTGCTGTGTAATATTTAGTTCCCTCATATGGGTTTTCAAAAACAAACTGAAAACCTTTTCCTGTGAGTTTCATAAAGTTAAAAAAAAAACTCTGACATTTTTAGTACCTACATTTAAAAATGTTTCATTTTAATTTCATTAGAATTTCTAAATGATCCTTGGGTTTATTTATTTATGTAGACAGGTTCTTAGTCTGTCACCGAGGCTGCAGCACAGTGGCACAGTCACATCTTACGGCAGCCTCAGCCTCCTGGGTTCAGGTGATCCTCCCGCTTCAGCCTCCCGAGTAGCTGGGACTATAGGTGCCCAACACTGCATCCAACTAATTTTTGTATATTTTGTAGAGATGGAGTTTTGCCATGCTGCCCAGGTTGGTCTTGAACTTCTGGGCTCAAGCAGTCCACCATCCTTGGCCTCCCAAAGTGCTAGGACTACAGGCTTTAGCCGCTGTGCCTGGCCGATTCTTGGGTTTTTAAATGTTCAGGCACTATAATGAGTTATTTCTCTGCTTTGTCTGTATTTCGTCTTACTGCATGCTGTGGATTTAGTCATTTCAGTATTACATAGTTGTCAAGGGAGGGACATACGGCTACATATGTTAGTTTTATATATAACAGAAATCATAATTGTATTCATTGGTATTCTGTCCTGGTAACTGAGTGCTTGGTGTAAGATATTAAAAAAAAAAAAAAAATCTAAACTTGTCTTAAAGACTATTCTCACTGAATAGTAAAGCACATACTCATTAGGTAAGTTAGTGCTGTTAATCATGCATTTGATTAAGGGTAAGGTGTATCACTGAAGCTTTTTTTTTTTGGAGGCAGAGTCTTGCTGTGTCACCTAGGCTGGAGTGCAGTGGTGCCATCTAGGCTCACTGCAGCCTCCACCTCCTGGGTTTAAGCAATTCTCCTGCCTCAGCCTCCTGGGTAGCTGGGATTACAGGCGTGTGCCACCATGCCTGGCTAATTTTGTTGTATTTTTTAGTAGAGACGGGGTTTCACCATATTGGTCAGGCCGATCTCAAACTGCTGACCTCATGATTTGCCTGCCTCGGCCTCCCAAAGTGCTGGGATTACAGGAGTGAGCCACTGTGACTGGCCTTACTGAAGTTTTAAAGTTTTAGTTTGGTTCCAGTAGGACTGGAGAGGAACTGGAATGCAGACTCAGGGAACCATCACAGAATGAAATCACTTCTAATGGACTCAATGCAAAGTCACAGGCAAATCCACATATGGAAGTGAGAAAAGGACTGTTCATTTTTGTTTTCATAAAGTAGTCATCACCTTGCTACTGCTTATGTGTCAGAAATTCTTAGTGTGATTATTATATATCTCAGTGGACTGGATGTTTGTTCTTTGGATAACCAGAATATCAGAACTTGTTAAGAGAAATGAAGTTCTGGGTTATATTATTCTGAGATATATTTTCTGATTTCTTTTCAGTGTGAAATAATGTTGCATAGTAATTGTCATTAGGGATTTTGAAATATCTTAGAACCATTATTACCCCATTAATATAATTTGCTTTAGAATAAACTCTTCGGTTTTTGTTTTTTATTTTTATTTTTCCAACTAAAATGCCATGGAATAAACTCTTCAAATTTTTTTTTTTTTTTAAGTTAAATTTTTTAGACAGGGTCTGACTCTGTCACCTAGGCTGGAGTGTAGTGGTGCAATCTTGGCTCACTGCAACCTCCGCTTCCGAAGTTCAAGCCATTCTCCTGCCTCAGCCTTCCAAGGAGCTGCGATTGCAGGCACCACCATTATTATGCTCAGCTAATTTTTATATTTTTGTAGAGACAAGGTTACACCATGTTGGCCAGGCTGGTCTTGAGCTCCTGACCTCAGGTGATCCACCCGCTTCGGCCTCCAAAAGTGCTGGGATTATAGGCATGAGCTACCATGCCTGGCCCTACGGTGCAAATATTTTTAAGTAAGCTACTTCTGAGCATTACTTATTTGAGTAATTTATTTAATTTTGGTGAGTATGGTGACTAATGCCTGTAATCCTAGCACTTTGGGAGTTTGAGGTGGGAGGATTGCTTGAGGCCAGGAGTTCGAGACCAGCTTGGCCAACATAGCCAGACTCCCATCTCTACAAAAAATAAAAGTAAATTACAGATTTTTTTTTAAAAAAATGACTTTCAGCTTACAAAATGAGTTCTATTAGAACTTCTGATTAAAAATTTTAACAAGCTCATTCAAAGTACTAATGTTTCTTTCATAGCTATGAATATGTTAAAATGCTTTGAGTTTTTATTTTAAGGTTTAGAATTCGTTAACAAAATTACTGATAAAATTTTGTTTTTGTAATAGTAGTCTGAAACAAATGTTTGAAGAGAGGGAAATGCCCTCTAATGACAGTATTTTTAGAGAAGCACTTTTTAGCCTGGGTTATTATGGTTAAAGTATTTTAACGTTTTGCTAATGTGTTGGTAGGATGATATCTAATGTATATTTAAATAATAAGCAAATGAAATTTCTCATTTTGGAACCTAACAGTCCAGATTTGAATAAAGGAAATTACTGGATTTTATGAATCTGTGCACTGATGCACTTGTAATGGGAACGAATAGTCTGAAAATAGAAAATGTTGTTATTTGAATTGTTATAGTATTTAAACAAAAGCTTATGTGAGTAGAAATAGGGTAAAATGGGATAGTTTTGACATCGTTTCAAATAAGTTGGGAAGAATAAATATAGGCTTGATTTTTCTGCCTTTTTCTCTGTAACTTTAGAAGATGGAACATGGCATTACAGAAAACCTCGTTTTCTTCACTATTCATAAGAAAAGTCAAATAACAAGAAATGAAAAACTTCTAAGTACTACTTTAAAAATAACATAATTTATAATTTATAATTGACTTTTTGAAACATTGTATTTGCATCATGGTTTATAAATTTCAAACCTTATACTACCACATGGATATTTTGTATGTAAAAAATTGGATCCAGCTATATAAGTCTCAATGTTTTATACCAATATAATAAGGCTCTTATTTTGCTCTATACATTTTGGTATTTTCTAATAGTTTTGCGTTTGTAGTTTTGGGCTTAGTGGCGTACTCTTGTAAAGTGGAAGAGTCGTTTTGTCCTTAGTTCCTTGATAAGGACTAGCCTGAGTAAATGGGTTTCTCAGTATTTGTTACCTGGATAAATAACCAGTACTTGCACAATAGATTGAGAATTGGCTGTGGGGAAGATGTGGGCTTTTTCATAAGATAATCTTGATTCAGATCGTTATGGAAGTTTAAGGATAACTGTTTCTGTTGTTTTTGAACCTGTTCAAAATCTGTTGGTTTTGAAAACTGAGTTCCGCACATGGAAGTAAGGAAAAGGACTGTTCATTTTTGTTTTCATAAAGTAGTCATCACCTTGCTACTGCTTATGTATCAGAAATTCTTAGTGTGATTATTATATATCTCAGTGGACTGGATGTTAAATATTTTGGTGTTAAATTTTTTTGTTTAGCTCTGTATGTCTGAAGGGAGTATGATAGTAACGAAAAACCAAATAATTTTTTATTATTTTGTGATATATTGTTAAATATGATATTACTGATTCAAATAATTATGGAGGTTTGAGAATAATTGATTCTTTCTATAACCTGTTGCCTTTGAAAATTGGCTTGTGTAGTTGTGTTAGTTTTGGTTAACTTTGTATGAGAAGAGTATGACTGTAACAAAATACTGAATAATTTAAAATTATTTAGAAGTATATTGTTAAATATTGTGGTATTTCAGCAAGCATGCGTCATATACTTTGAGGAACCAGTGTTAACATTTAATTGTGCAGGTGAATTTGATTATAAATTTCAGATATATTTGAAAATACTAGATTCAAATGTTAAATAAAAATGAAGATTATACTAAATTTGTATGAGAAAATCAAATTACGGAATTTTTCCCATATAACAATGTGTGATGACATCTATTTTGATAAGACTGTCAGATGATTTCATCATTTGTTTATAGGCGCATTCTACATTCTAAAGGGGAGCTCAGTGAAGATAGACATAAACAGTATGAGGAGTTTGCTATGTCTTATCAGAAGCTGCTGGCAAATTCTCAATCCTTAGCAGACCTTTTGGATGAAAATATGCCAGATCTTCCTCAAGACAAACCAGCACCAGAAGGTAAGGCATTCTTAGAAACAAACATTGTGTTTTCTTATAAGCATTGTCACCTTTTGGCTTGTCATATGTGCAGTATTGAGAATTTCAGTTTTTAAAATCGGCTAGGAATGGTGGCTCATGTCTGTAATCTCAGCACTTGGGGAATCTGAGGCAAGAGGATTGCTTGAGACCAGGAGTTTGACAGCAACCTGGGCAACAGAGTGAGACTCCCATCTCTATTTAAAAAAACCTTTTTTGAATAAAGAAATGGTATTAAAACCTATTGATAACCTTGAAAAGCTATTTTTAGTGATCCCTGAATGGAAGAATCTCTGGACAAAGAGAATAATAATTAACTCATATGATAATATGATGAGTTCTTTCAGATTCTTTTTTTTTTTTTTTTTTTTGAGATGGAGTTTTGCTCTTGTTGCCCAGTCTGGAGTGCAATGGTGTGATCTCGGCTCACCGCAACCTCTGCCTCCTGTGTTCAAAGGATTCTCCTGCCTCAGCCTTCCAAGTAGCTGGGATTAACAGGCTTGTACCACCATACCCGGCTAATTTTGTATTTTTAGTAGAGTCGAGATTTCTCCATGTTGGTCAGGCTGGTCTCGAATTCCCAGCCTCAGGTGATCACCCGCCTGATCCCCGCAAAGTGCTGGGATTACAGGCGTGAGGCCTCATTTAGCTTCTTGAGTAATAGATAGATACCTTCCAATTTCCTGGCAATTCTGTTTACTCTAGAAATCTTAAGGGTGAAGTATTTGTAAAATATCCTTTTATAATTAAAGAAAAATTCATATCTAATATCTTTAGTAAGAAATACCTATTGTGTACTGTGACTGCATTTATTATATTTATATATAATAATGTACATAATTCCTATACTTTTTTTTCTTTTGATACAAAACCTTGCTGTATTGCCCAGGCTGTAGTGCAGTGGCACAATCTCAGCTCCTGGCAATCTCTGCCTCCCGGGCTCAAATTATCCTTCTGCCAAGTTGCTGGGACTACAGTTGTGCGCCACCATGTCTGGCTAATTAGAGACAAGATTTTACCATGCTGTTGGGGCTTGTCTTGAACTCGAGCTCAAGCAGTCCTTTTGCCTTGTTCTCCCAAATTGGGGGATTATAGGTGTGAGCCACTGTACCTGGCCTCCTACTCAGTATCTCAAAAATCATTCTCAAACTTTTTGAATGTTTAAAAAAAGTTTCATCATAGAATTTGTTTTGGTTGACCCTGGCTTGTTTCTCAGAACTTTCTCAGTATATTTGTTATGATGTTTTAGAATAAAAATCTCTTTGTAATATTTAGCATATGGCCTGGTGCAGTGGCTCACGCCTATAATCCCAGCACTTTGGGAGGCTGAGGTGGGCAGATCACAAGGTCAGGAGTTCAAGACCAGCTTGGCCAGTATGGTGAAATACTGTCTCTACTAACGATAGAAAAATTAGCTGGGTGTGGTGGCGTGCGCCTGTAGTCTGAGCTACTTGGGAGGCTGAGACGGGAGAATCACTTGAACCTGGGAGGCTGAGGTTACAGTGAGCTGAGATCACGCCACTGCAAAAA